ATCTGGCCAATCTGATTAACGATACTTTCCTCTCCCCAATGCAAGACTTTACACCGTTATCTGCTGAACCTTTCCAGCTGCCGCAAGACTATTCCACCGCACAACCATTTGCCCTTACTGAGCATGCTGTTTACTTTCAGCTAGCGTCGATTAACCCTAGGAAAGCGTCCGGACCCGACGGTATTCCTGCATGGTTGCTAAAGGAAAATGCGGATCTCCTCTCTGATACAGTAACATATTATTAACTGCTCCTTTGCTGAAAGCCGCTTACCACCTTCTTGGAAATCTGCTGATACCGTGCCGATCCCAAAGCAGAAACCAATCAAGGACATAAATAAACACCTGCGTCCCATCTCATTAACGCCCGTTCTCTCTAAGGTGGCGGAGGAGTTTGTTGTTGCAGAGCACTTGCGACCATCAATTCTCAAGAAAATTGGAGACAACCAATTCGGGACTATCCCAGTATCCCCAACAACGCATGCGCTTATCAGTATGGTGCACTCCTGGACCAAACACACTGATGGTACAATCCACTATCACTTCTTTCTCTTCGGTTTGGGCACTTTGGCGTTCCTGTTTATTGCCCAGTTATCGGTCTTGCAGTTGTTCAGCACTGTTCAATAAACTCATTTTGCCCAAACTGTTGCGTCGTCTCGATAACGTGGGTTGATTGAGAAATCATTTATTAATGATGGTTAATTAACTAGTAAAAGAGATATCGAATGTCCCTTATAATCAACCGCATGGTCTGGCATCGCATCTTTTGTGTGATTCGGAGAGAGGAGGCGTAAGCTCTTACCCACCTCTCCCACCCTATTATTTTTACGATTTTGTATTGTCAATTTTCACCTTTCTTAGTTTTTCGTAGTTCTAGTTTTGTTCTGTTTATTGTCCAGTAATCGGTCTTCCAGTTGTTCAGCACTGTTCAATAAACTCATTTTGCCCAAACTGTTGTGTCGTCTCGATAACGTGGGTTGATTCGTAGCCAACTTGCCTTTCGGCGTGAACTAGCTAGGCCTCTTATTGCCAGCTACAACGGATACAAACGTCCATCAAGTTTCGGCACCCGTGTGATCCAAACTCTAACTAGTGAAGAAAACTTGAAAGGACATTTTCTTGGCAAGTTGAAAGGCAGGAATAAAGCTAGTGCCATGCGTGCAAAAGCCAGCCAAAAGTGTGATGAAGGATGCACGTTCGAGACATCATATAATGTGCACAGTGTGGCATTCCCTTGTGTTGGCAAATGCGTGGCGAACAATCCTGCTTTTCCCAATGGCATGGGGGAAATTAGTGTTTTAATAGACACCGAACTTTGACTCTATCTTTTATTAGAATTTGTTCTTCATTATAAACCATGTTTAGTGCTGTGAAACATTAATTTAGGCAGTTCACCTTACATGCTGTTTGCCAGGAGACCATTGTTCAAGTACACTGTGGGATAAAAACAAGTCGTGTCTTTGTTTTGTAAAATCTATTGTTCATAGCATATCATGTGAACAAATGCAAATAACATTTTTAGTAGTTACATTATTTTGTCCAATGGTTTAGAAAATGAACCTTTGTATCAGCAGGTTTGACTTGTAAAATATAACTTTGAGTTCTCCATGTTATGGTGTAGCGTTATGTCAGCAATGGCGGCAAATTCAAATTTTGATTCTTGTAAGAAACTGTAGGAAGCAAAATTGCTTGGCAAAATCTCTTCTTTAGCCCTTTTGATTAGCTAACAGAAGGAAAAAGACAACATGTTAAAATTCTCTCTTGATCAACTGTAAATAGCTCTGGTCCTATTTGAAGGTCATGTTGTTTACTCAATTCTTTGAGTAATAAATAATGAGTGCTGAAGGCAAATCGTCACCAAACCATGCGGTTGTCCCCACCGAAGCGCCAGGAACGGCTTCTGCAGTGGATATGGCTACGAACAAACACATTTTAAATTCTTTAAACAACAATGATCAAACAATGGGCCAGACGGCGGGCCTTACAGCCAAATTTTGCAAAGATTGCGAGCCAAGTGGCCGGAAAAGGTCAAAAAGAGCCGCCAATCAACACCCAGTTGGCTCAGTTCCGAGCAGAACAGATTAAGCCTGCTTTAAAGCAAGAATACTCTACCATCTGTAGTGCTGAAGTACCCCTGACTAGCCAATATTTATTTGGGGATGAGCTCGCCAAACAGCTGCGGCATGCTAGGGAATCTAGCAAAATTAGCCACTCTGTTTGTCACTCTTCACAGCGACGCCCCTATACAGGGAACCACCGTTCTGGCCACCAGGAGCGTTATAATAGACTAATGGAGATTTTTTATGGAAAGGTCAACACAGATCCCACAGAAAGAAAAAGCCTCAGATCAACGAAAAGAAATCATTGACCAACTGTTAGCAAAAAGAGATTCGGAAAGTGATTTTCCGACATTTCTGCCACACCTTTTAAGTTATTTATATGACTGTTGCCACAACTTTAGGCGGGGCGAGTCGCTGCTCATTTTGCAGCATAGAAAGATCTTACTAATTATCGTGTAATTTTGTCTGATGTTTTGGGAGCCAGTATTGAGTTGTTTGCCAACCCCAATAAACACAGGCTTCCCGGCCACGCCTTTAATGAGCACGAATATTCTGTTGTTTGCCAGGAAATACAAAAATTGATCCAAAAAGGGATTATCATGAAAGTGAAATACTCTCGGGGTCAGATTGTATTAGGAATGTTCTTGCTTGCCAAGAAAGATGGAACTTTTAGGCTCATACTTAACGTCAAAAGTTTTAATGAGTTTGTGAGCATCATCATTTTAAGATGGACTCTCTTCCGACAATAATTAAGCTGTTAACACCAAATTGTTTCATGGCATCTATAGATATGAAGGATGCTTACTATCCCATCCCTGTTAAAAGTGAGGATCGAAAGTACTTGCATTTTAAATGGAAAGATCAATTTTATGAATTCATGTGTCTTCCCAATGGGTTGTCGTGTGCCCCCCCGCCAGTTCACTAAAGTTCTGAAACCCCTTTAGCCACTTTACACAAACAAGGGCATATATCTATTGCACACCTGGATGACCTTTAATTACAAAGTCGGACTTACGACCATTGTGTCAAAAATGTTAGAGTGTTTTCACATGACGTCAAGGCGGCCATATTGGTGTCCCAAAACAATGAAACGGCGGCCATGTTGGTGTCCCAAACCAATCCTGTGGGAGTTGAACTCTTTTCTTATACAAACGCTTTCTTTTGTTCCAATAAATTTGCATAGAAGCTGGCCACGTGAGTGAAAACATTCTTACTTGATAAGTTGGATCTGGTTGTCCACCCTGAGAAATCCACTTCCATTCCCTCTCAGGTGCTGGTTATTCTGGGATTTACCATTAATTCATTAACTAACTATAACAATTCAACTTACAACAGAGAAGCCTTTGGGCTTCAAAACTGTTTGTGTTGAGTTTTTGCCAGCTACCACCTTATCTATAAGGGAAGTAGCAAGTGCGATTGGAGGGATAGTGGCTAGTTTTCATGGGGTAATGCACGGACCCTTGTTCTTCAGACACTTAGAAAAAGACAAATGTTTAGCCTTAGAGGAGGCAAAGGGAAATTTTGATGCCCACGTCCCTTTCACAACAAGCTAAGTGTGAATTGCAATTGTGGTGTGCTCATGTTATCACTGCCCACAATGTGATATCATATGCGGAACTCCAACATTAAATTAATACAGATGCCTCCCTCTTAAAGGTGGGGAGCCAAACATGAAGGAGTATCCACAGGGAGCAGTTGGACCCATGTGGAAGCCCAGTACCACAAATACTAGTTGGAAATGCTGACTATATATTTAGCCTTACAAACTTTTGCGCTGGACTAACACACACATTCGGGTAATGTGTGAATGTAATTAATCATATGGGAACGAGTCAATCCGATTCTTGTAATTCATTAGCCAAAGAAATTTGGGAGTGGTGTATAACTAAGCACATGTAGTTGAGTGTTGCCCATATCCCTGGTAAACAAAATCTTGCTGCTGATTTTAAATCTCGAAGGAATCAAAGGGAAGCAGAATGGTGGCTGGACAAAGCCGCACTCCAAAATGCTCTATCAAGGTTAAATTTTCGGCCTGACATTGACCTATTTGCTTCCTGTATTAATTACCTTTTTCCAAAGTATGTTTTTTACAGACCAGACCCTGAAGCTTTCACCATAGATGCATTTTCCTTACAATGGTCTAAGGTGGATTTTTACGCATTTCTACCTTTCAGTGTAATTCCCGCAGTTTTGACCTGGATAGTAAATGGACCCCTTCCCCTAAGTCATGTTTCATTTTAGGAAGCAAACCACCATGCCAGTGAGCCATAAGGGAATACTCTGGATTTCAAGTGACGAGATGATCGAATGGGGGCAAAAATCAACCCCCCTCCCACCCTCCTAATATATTTTTTTCCCACCACGAACCTTTACATTGTTTTGATACGCTAAAAACTCCCTACTTTAATCAAGCTATCCAGACAAATCCTTTGATTGATTATCCTCGTCTCTTGAAATTTGGAGTACTCCTCCTGGGACTAGTGACATGTTGGGCTAAATTCCATCTATGTTAAATCTCTTCAGTTTATGAAAATTTGTGATTTTATGTGTGAACTGCAGTACGAGAGAGTGTTCACCGTAAAGTAAGGATGTTTGCTTAGTTGTCAGAAATGGCAAAGGACAACCCCGTGATTCCTAAAGAAAATTACTCTACTTATCGATCAGATCTGTTTGCCAGACAAGTGTGTCTATAAATTCTCTGCAAAGCAGTGTTGGTTTTTTGTTGAAAACGTTTGAAAAATATTCTTCTGCACATTTCAAAATCAGACCAGCTAGTCCTCACTAGTCCATCACACACGCTTTTTAACACTTGCAAAACAACCTCTGTGTGATCTCTCCCATATCTGAAAAGAGGAAAAAATTTCTTCTGTTGAGGATAAAAATTCGCACTTTGAGACAACATTGTCAATGAGTTTAACTGTGAAACCAGTGCACGAATCAATATCACCAAACCTCCTGTGGTTTGTGCCAAGGTGGAGGCAATATTAAAAATAAATGCTTACTGATCTCTTTTTGCTCCTCCTCAGATACCCTTCTCACAGCTCCTTGATCTTGCTCAGGGGACTTCTTAAGATGGGGGACATGTGCTTCTTTAGGGTCTGTTGCTCGCTGTTACTGCAATTGGAAGAACAAAGTTGCCTTGGTATTGGTTAGCGACTTGAACATGTTGAACCTAAGTAAGTTAGAACATAATCCCTCAAACAGCTGTTGGTAAGCTTGTAATAGGACCACATTTCGTCCGTCATCCCAGGCTTGTTGGAAGCTACGTCACTACCATTGTAATGGAGTGTTGCTCTGGCAGGTTGGTTGTCCTGACCGGCTTGTCCAATTTCTTGGTAGCACGACTCTACAGTCCAAGGAACATCTAAATGAATAACATGTCTTACTTTAGGAATGTTTACACCAATCCCCATTGCTGCTGTGGCAAAGACAACACGAATTTTGCAAACTTCTGTTGCAGTTAGCTGCTTAAGAATTTCATCTTTTATTACGTCTGTCTGTGGCGCATGGTACTGCACAAACAGGCAGTTTTTGGGTTTTTTGTTCACGCTTATCGGAAAGAAACTCTGTTTACAGAGCACAGTAAGAAATAAATTGAAAGCATACCCGCACCATTTCAAGGGAAAGTAGATGATGGTACGGGGGTAGTTGATTAATTTCACCCTTAGTTCCTCAGCAATGGGTGAGCTTCGTCAATGACACAAAATGCAATGCAATTTTGGTATAAATCTGACTGAAGGACTTTTCTACCATCTTTACACGATATAAAAGCCTCTGGGTGAGTAAATAAAAGCTTAAATTCTCCTTCCTGGACACATTTGAATAGTTCAGGCTTACTGATTCAGTAGTTGGGCTTTTTTTCCGATACCACAGAAACTTCATTTTCATCCTCTGACTGACTGTCGTCATTCTGAGAATTAGCGGCATTAGTTTTTTTCCGCACGAGATGTATGCAGCACACCAGCCTTAATTCCCCTTTCCTTCAACTATTGACTTGGTCCTCAATAAGTGCATTCAAGAGCAAAATGACAATGACAGTGCTCGCTTCTCCTTTTCATTCCACAGGTAAGGAAGGTGAAAAATTACCGACTTCCCATAACCCGTCGGAAGGACTCCAATAACACGTTGCCGTAACATACAAGCTTCAAGGATCTTAAACTGTTTGACTTTCAAAAATACACTGTCGTAACTAGTAACATCTAAAGCGTACCTCACAGCTTGAAAAAAGGAATTCAAGGTAAGCTTCATCTCTCAAACTCAAAGACTCAAACTCCCGTAGATACTGAGCACAAAGCAGCTGAGTCAACCAAAGCACTCGCGATCCGTCCTTTGAAAAAGACATGCTGATCAAGTAACTTATTTTTAATTATAACCAAAACTCGTAAGGATACGAAATTTTCCTGTGAGAAAATTGTCACTTTCAGAGAACGTGTCTTTGAAAAAGCAATTTCTAAGAGATTTGTATGTACATAAGATAAGATCTTATGTACATACGTAAGTTGCATAAGACACGCAACAAGATAGACATATGTTACGTAAGATATGCAACAAGATTCAATTCTGACTTGCCTGAATAATCCCATGAGAAGCGTGCCTTAAATGGCATAGGGCGCGAAATGTGCGCGTAAAGGGCAACGACTCTCTTAATGTATCTTAATTTCCAGACATCTCCATTACACCTCAGAAAGTCTACTCAGACTTTGGAGAAAACATTTGTAGATTTTGTGGTGGTGCTTAAGACCATTGTACTAATATTTTTGGCATAGGTGGGGAAAGGAAAAAAATAAGCGACAAAGCATCTGAGGTTTTAAGTATTTCCATCGGAGAAAAGGATGGTTTGCCATACAAAATCTGCCGCCTGTGTGAAGGAGCACTGAATCAGTTCTCCGAGTTCAGGAAAATGGTTATCGACACACAAAACCAGCTGAAATCAAAAGTAATAACAAAGAGGTGCAAAGTCTTCTCACCTTAGTCTTCTTTCCTTAGTCCATCAAGCGAAAGGCGCGTGAAACAAAAATGACCACACACATCACCAATGCGCGCACTTCCCTCACCTTGAAATCTGAAGAAAAAGAGAAACTGCTCACAGTCTATGATGTAAAAATGATTACATTTTTTTGTTTTGTAATAATACCAAAAATTTGAAAATAAGAAATTGCTAAAAAAAACAAACAAACAAAGATTTTAGACTCAGGCAAAAATATTATTTATGTGGCAAGTTTGCCAGTAAATTGCATCCAAAGACAGGGCGATCATTTATTATTACTATTTTAATAAATAATAATAATCATAATTATTATTATCATCATCATCATCATTCTTAATTACTACCATCATTATCATTATTATTAGCATTATCATCATTGATACTATAAATAGGTTAACACACCATTGCCTTCTCAATTTTAGCCTTTGTGGCTGGCGGTTTTTTCTTCTGCGGTTCAGATATACTGCCGCATGAAAGCTGAACTGAGGTCAAAACAGAAAATGATGGGAATGTAGCAGCTGCTCAGAAGACAAGTCACCAATGGTGCCTAACCCTGACCCCAAACAATACTGAAACAATTAAAAAAATGACATGTCATTGTTTACTGTGACCAATAAGGGGGGACCTTACTAGCAGCTCCTACACAACTGAACGATGGAGTGAGTAGGAGAGGTCCCTTCCTTTTTACAAACCACACATACACACACGTAGAAAAAAAAACGAAAAACTGCCAGCTATGCACGTTATTTCAACTTTAAATTTATTGTTTCCATTGGTTCTAAAAGTTACTTTTTTCTTATTTACCTAGAAGTGAGGTATTTATTTTATGGTGAAAAGAAATCATAAGGCCTATTACAATCAGACACTTAGGAAGGATATAGTCACAAAAAAAGAAAAACGCCAGAAATGTTATTCAAATTCTTTATTAGCTCTGTGGATGGAAAAAAGCATTGCAAAAAAATATATCCCTTATCCCTAATCCTTCAGTGATAAGCACCATCAAGTTAAGGGTAATGGTGTTTGTTATCATTATCATCAAATCATCATCATCATCATTGTTGTTATCGTGCTTGTCATCATCATCATTATTGAGAAAAGCACATAATCTTGGTCATTCTCTATGTTCATGAGATGCATTTAGGGGTCCATCCACCGGGACCCTCCCATCCCTGAAGCCTGCAATGCTTTCAGACATTTCATGTTAATATCATACAGAAAACTAAAGTCTGGTATCAAAATAAACTTAGTGTTTTCTTATTACTCAAAAACGTGCCCTTGGTTTTGCCTTATTTTAAAATGGGTTAAGTGTTAAAAAGTGGACTCAACCTTAGAATCAAAACAAACTGTTAAGCCCCAATATAGACATGCAAATTCTCTAGGCTGATCTTCATAATCTTATATTTCCTTAACGAATTACTTGAGAGAATTTAATTAAATCTCGTCACCTATATTTTTTTCAAAAATATGTTAAATTGTTAGGAGAAAACTGATGTTGAAGAATCTTGAGTTTAAGCAAAAACTACTACTAACTACTAACTACTAGATTACCAAATCAGCTGCTCATGCTCTGGAAACAGACATAGCACGAAACCTGACCAATGCGGTGAAAACTTAGGTGCCCTCTGTGGTTGTGGATGTTATGTACAGTGTGCCATCAATGAAGACAATCTTCAAGGCAAACATTTTAAAAGAACTGAATGAAAAATGTACTGAACTGTGCAAGAAGAATACACTATCAATTCTGAGGAAAAACCAATATCCTGACCTGGCGGGCTTTGATTGGAATTCTATTCTTAGTGAAATTTCACAAAGATATTCACTCTTGCTTGATGTCATGACAACAACTATTGGATCAAAACTGAAATCCAACACCATCCCTTCAATTTGCTTATGTTACGGTATACCCATGTGGAAGCAGAACCATGACCTAAGCCTAATTCAGAGAATCAATATACTATTTTACTTGCAGAAGGAAATGCTAAGAAGCAGGTTGATTGAAAAAGAACACTTACCAGTAATTACATGTAAAATTATTATTTTTTCACTCAAACAGTCAAACTTGAGGCTGTGTAATGTAGTTCCAACTCAGCCATGTTTGCATACAGATATTAAGTAAATGATTTAAATGACATTTAAGCCAAGGGGTAATTCTTATTTCCTTTTGGTAAATTCGGGACAGGGTGCTTATTTTTTTGAGAACAACTGAATGTTCCAAAAAAGTAACAATAACAGACAAAAATAGAAACTGTACTTCTCTTTGTAACTGTACTAAATATAAGGTGAATGTTCAGTTAACGTGAGAAACTCGGACAAAAGGGGGGCACTTATTGGAAGGAGTGCGCTAAATCGAATCACTTGGAAAAGAATAGTTCAAGTGCCTTTAATCTGGTGCAGATCAGAGGAACTGCGTTAGGAAAGTAAAGAGAGTAAATCTTAGGTTTGGTAAATATTATGGTGTGTAAGAATTAAAAAAAAAATCTTTCTAACAGGGGTAAAAAGAGCCAAACCATGTGCCATGATTACAAAAAAATTCTAACCACATTGATTCGGTTTGATAGCTTATCGACAGATGTCAAAGTATTGGATTTTGCCTCGGGCACACAAGCAAACTGAAACTCATGAAGTTAATGTGGGGACACTTTGCAGACAAAATAATTGATAAAGTAAAGCAAGGGAAAAAGCTGGAGGGTACAGGTGACAACTGGGACATCAGGGTTCTTGTCCATGACATGAAAAGTGACCATCAGAACAAAGATCTGCACTACTTTGCTTCCAACTTAATTGTAGACAGGGTGCCATGTGAACGCCAGTGTCAGGTCTACCCTCGTCGTAGCATTCAGACACTTCCCAACTGCCATTTCCCGTTGAATGATGCAGAAACAGACAAGCTAAGAGAAGATTTTAAGGTCCTGGTGGGTAGAGTACTTGTGGCACACATTCCATCACTGTCTTTCTTGAAAGCAGTTATTCCCCAACACATAGCCTATTGCTACACCAATGAAATGGCAAAGAAATCTGCTATTGTCCGTCTACCAACCCAGCTGAAGGATGAAAAAAAATGTGATGATGTTGTTCACATTCTGTGCTTCTATGAAAATATTTTAGAGGAGATTTACAGTAAGGCGGGTGTTATAAACGTGCCAAGAAATACAGCACAAGCTATGCCAAATGGAGGTCTGGAAGGTATTGCAATCAGCATCAGATCAGCCTGGAGCGCACATTACCAGACATGATGATGATGACCATATGAAAAATGTATGTGTTCCTTTTGGGGGAGACCTGTTAACCAGGGTGCGCTTTGCCGGGGCAAAAGATCTCAGAAGGGGCTGTCACATTGCAAAAGACAGATTTGAACATTGTAGTCCATTTGTTGTAGAACCAATCCATACCAAGATATCCTATCTGCAGGCATCTACAAAGAAAATATGTTTTTGTCATATTAATAAAATATTGACTTTTAAATGGTCATACTTTAGAACAATAATGCTAACTCAAACTTAAATGACATATGGTAAATTAAGTTCAAGTTAGGGGTTAATCAGTCCATTGCAAGTCGTATTTGGTACACATACATGTAAAACAATATTCTTAAGCATTTTGCTTGTCATGCAAATTTTATCTGGGTTAAAGTATTTCTTGACCACATTAGTTCCTGAAGAGTGTTTTTAATATTGAAAATAATGTGCATGCACATATGCTACATTTCAGCATAGTTAAAAGGGTTAAAATTAGGCCATAGTAAATTAATTGGGTATAAAATTAGGCCAAATCGAAGGAAAATATATTTAATTTGTTCATATAAGTGGGGAGTTGACCAAGTCAGTTTAACCTTAAGTAAAACAAACAAGTCAGTACACAGTGTAAACCCACTGTAAGAACACAGAAATATTGTTGTTTGCATTGACGTGGTGAATATGTTATTATTATTAGAAACAATTGGGATGCAAAATTATGAATATACAGAGCAACGCGTCATAATGAGTTCAATAAAGTATATTAGATTGACATGTATTAGTAAAGTAAGTGTAGTTTAAGGAACATTATTTGGTATAAATAACAGTGGGTGAGTTTCACCATATTGATACCTCTTCGTGCTAATATCCATTTGCAGCTTGTGTTTAATCATTTATACAAAGCCGAGTCTCTCAGAGAGGTTGGTACCCTCAAATATTTCCGGGAAAGGGTAAATCGCAAAAGTATTACCCCAGACAAGGTAACAAAGTCCTTCGAAGGAACTGAAGATTTCTTTGTAAGTGTTGGAACAGGATACATCCTTGAGGCAGCCATGGAGTTTGATGATGTTCTTGGTTCCTTTGTTAATGAATTTGTCATGGCAGATCCAGTCCAAGATGCCATGATGGAAAACCAGAAACTGCAACGAATATTAGATAGATATCACTTGTCCTCCCTGTGGCTCGTATTGTGGGGATGAAGTGCTCCTCTCGTCACAGTTTTGCCCCATAGCCTCGATTTCCGGAGGCCCAACTCCTTCCTCTCTACCCACTCCCTTCGCCTCATCCACTGTGTGCATTCCCTTGGGTTGTAGGTTTTGTTGTTCTTGACAATAACTCAGGGGTTCATGGAGCTAAAATATTTATTGAGCACTTTATTACCCACTTCCCCGTTTTCAGCCACATATAGTTGTTGTTGTCCTTACTTTAAGACTAAACTAGAAAATGTTGATTAAGTGGTGCTCAAGCTACATTCATTCGCAGCATCCGTACACATCCAAATCCATTATTTGTGTTGGGCTGTGGTACACAATTTGAAAACTTGAAAGCCTACAGCAAATCAGAATTGGTGCCTCGGGTTCACTGTTTAGCCCTAGAAAAAATATTTCCATCTAAAGAAGTCTTGCATCCAGAGTGACACCTCTGAAAGGATCGGGCCTCAAAGCATCCGTATCACAGAAGACATCAAGCCCCAACTCAAACAAATCCATTTAAAGAGATGTAAGGAACAACTTGGTGTCAACATTTAACGTTAACATCTGCCTTGATGGAAAAATTGTCTACTGTTTAGGTTGAGTTTATCTCACTTGGGGCCTACATGTACAAGTTGTGTACCTATGTTCCATAGTTTAAACTACTGATTTTCGTTACATGACAGTGATCAGTAAACAACGTATTCTAAAAACATCATTGATTTGTTAAACTTACATTAACTAACGAATCTTTGAATAACAGTGTAAAAAATAATTTTCTCCTGTTTATGTCAGGGACGAACTTAAGTTTGGAAGTAAAGTGCATCTTGCAGATCAATTTGCCATTGTGTACTAGCATTGTTACAAACAAGTGCAGTTAGTAAGAAAAAGGAAACCCAGAGGTCAACCCTATATTAAGGATTCCCTAAACGAACAAAGAAATATGTATATAAATATAGCAATAAAATATGTTCATTATATACCTGATTGAAAAAACGTTGTCATTTGAAAGGATAAACCATAAACTATGAGACCCAAGGGCTTTATGGGTATAAGTATAATGAATAGACCAATTCCCATATATTAAAATTCATACTTGCCTGCGAGGCCTAGGGAGTAAAACAAAAGAAGTCACCTCGAGGCTCAATAATGAATAATATATTTCTTTTGTTTTCTTACCTCACACCCTTGGAGCCAAGTAAGAATTTTAATATATCGAAAATAGTCTATTACATTTGCATAATATTTCGTTCTCTTGTGCGGGCCGTGTTGCACGTAGTGGACCATGGAAACTATCCAAGCTTTTATGAAGGTGTCCAAATTGGCCAACAAGGGCCAATTTGAACGGTATAACATACGCAACTTGCCGAAGTTCGTATCAATCGACGAATTTAAGAAATATTTGCTTGCAAATTAGTCCGAAGAGTTAAGTCCCGCTTCTAATTGGTCTTCTTTAACTATCGACTACATGAGTGAAGGACGCCGAAAATGCGACATAAAAACAGACAAACAACTGCTAGAAGACGCCTACAAAAGTATTAAAAATGGGTGGATCACCCTATGGGTGGATCCACACAGTGTCGTGAAACCCAAACAGGACGAGAAAGAAAGAAGGGAAGGTCAAGCAAAAAGGAGGAAAACTTCAGGTATGATTTAATAACTAACTTGTTTGCTTGGAGTTTGACATTTCAAAAATGCACCAGTAACAAAATTGCTAACCTTGTGTTTATCGTAAACAATGTTTTTTTTTCCAAAGTCTATAATGCAGGCCACCCTATCGACGGCGGAGACAGTATTAAGGAGGACGATCAAGACTCCTACGAAAAAAGACTAGCATGTCTGCGAGGAAAGCATGGAGGAGGCATAGCAGACTTTAAACTAATATGCTGAGCAAGAATGTTGGTAAGCTCAGAAAATATAATAACATCAACGGTAAAATTTCATGACATTTAATTGTAGATAAAGAAAGAGGAATTGTGATAAGAAAGAAAAATGATTGTTCTCTAATATTTGATTTCACACTTGTAAAACTTGCCGATTTTAAATGTACGTGCGTGCGTTTGCTTTTCAGTTAAATGAACACTTTTGTTTGTCATCGTACTGGGACTGAAAATAATATTTTATGCCTTGATTGTTTCTTTATTAATACAGGTGAATAAAACTCACCATAGCGAGGACGAGATGCCACAAGTTTCTTTTTTCATGGGGAGAAATAAAGCGAGCTGCTCGGCAACTTCAACGGCAACATCAAGCTCGATAGTTTCAAGTGCTGAGGAAAAGGTATAATTCTCTAAAGTGCTACTCCAATATTCGAGAAAAGAGCGAATCTAATTAAAAATAAGGAAAACTATTTTCGTTGTCGCTGTGATTGCTGCGATTAATTGCCTTTTAAAATCGTGCGTTGTGAGATCCATGAATTTGAAAGGCCACACGTCAAGTTTTCTGAGCAAGACAGAACTGCAAGCATTACTAATGTAATTTTTTTTTTCTACAGCTCCGCTTAAGAGGAATGATTTATAGTCAAGTGGCTCACCTAAAGGATCTATTTGACGAAGAAATGCTGATGAGAGATTAGTTTGAAAAAGAAAGGGAAAAACTTATTAACGAGCTAGCAAAAGTGGAATAAAATGTTTGAATTAAAGGTATTCACAACGGTGGATGTAGTTGGCAATTTCTTCATCAGTTATTTGCATAAAAGCTTCAAAGACCATGGTCTCCAGTTCATCGCACTGCTCCCAAACTAGTTCGTTTTCTCTCATCCAGCTTTTCGCTTGTCTGATCACTCCTTCACAAGGCATAAGATGTGGGCTGTATGGAGGAAGCAAAATAAGTAATGCACCCAAAGCATTGATTGCATCAGTAACGCGTTGCGAATGATGTATGGCAGCATTGTCTGAAAACCAAAACCACAAAAATATTAGAACTCTTAATACAGTCGAACCTCCACTAACGGCCACCTCCCTACAACGGCTACTTCATTTTTTCGTTCTGGAGGACAAAAAATCCATACATTGACTCTACAATTAAACCTCGCAACAGCGGCAACCTCCTTAAAACGGCCAAGTTCTTCTGTCCCCAAGGTGGCCGTTGTAAAGAGGTCTAACTGTGCTTAGATCGAGCTTACTACTTTGAATGCACTAGAAAATATCATACCCATTATAACATCCGAGTGCGGGTTAACACCGTCAAATGGCAGAAGATTCGGAACAAGCCTCTCATTTACAAATTATAGAAATACATCTCCATTTGCTGTTCCACAGTGAATTCCAATTTCTATCAATCCTTTTGTGCAGATGATAGGTGTTATGCATATGGTTGTTTTTACCATATTTAGCTGTTTGTAATTTTATGTAAACTAGGATGCATCTTACATGAAGGAGGCATTAAAAGCATGGCATCTGGCTACAAGGCTCTCGACATGTGCAAATCGAGTGAGATTACAAACAAGCAGATCAAGTCCCTTCAGCACGAAAGCAAGCAGTCGAATGAAGAGCTTCATCTAGTCCAAGACAAAAGTAAAACTAAGACCAAGAAACCAAGACCTTCAAATTCAGGCAAGACCACTAAAGGTTCAAAGAAAACGTGGAAGTGCAAGTTTTGTGGTCAGGCCAAATGGCATTCAAAGCCCACCGATTGGCCAGCTTATGGCCAGCAATGTAGTATTTGTAAGAAGATGAATCACTTCAGCAAAGTGTGTTCCTCAAGAAAAGATAGCCATGGAACCGTCCATTTTGCAGAAGAAGCTAAAGTTGATGATTATGATTCAGCGGAATCCATACTGAAGATAGAAGAAATTTCTGCAATTAAAGGGCAAGGAAAGCAAATGACATCCAGCATTACATTTTTGGTAGATGATGATGAGAAAGTACCATTAGTTTGTCAGTTAGACACTGGTTCCACCTGCAATGTGATCAGCTACACGGATCTAGTACAGCTGTTGCAAGATGGCAATCCCCCTCTAAACATGACCAAATCTAAGCTCAAATTATTTGATGGTACCTTTATGCAACCAGTAGGTGTAACCACCCTCACTGTAGCAAGAAGACGGAAACAGTACGACCTGCAATTCCAAGTAGTAGAGAGCCCTAATAAGCCCCTTCTATCAGCTGAGACATGTTCGCAGTTGGGTCTTCTTAAGGTGGAGATAGAACCTTATGAAGAGGTCCACTCACTGGAAAGCAAAATCCTCACTACAGAGCAAATTATGGCCAACTACAGAGATGTTTTTGAAGGATTAGGACATATTGGGAACACGACCATTGTCACTGATCCTCTGGTAAAGCCCACACAGCACTCTCCACGCCGAGTCCCAATAGCTCTCAGAGATAAAGTTAAATAAAAACTGGAGGACTTAGAAAGCAACGGAATCGTGGAAAAGGTTACCATACCAACAGAATGGATTAGCAGCATGGTAGTGGTCACCACACCAAGCAAGATAAGAATTTGTCTTGATCCCCAAGATCTGAATAAAGCAGTCATTCGCCCCAAGTATCAAATGCCAACTCTAGAGGAATTACTACCCAAGCTCAGTAAAGCAAAGGTATTCACCACTTTGGATGCTAAAGATGGATTTTATCAAGTTGGATTAGATGAGCAGAGCAGTCTGAAGACCACATTCTGGGCACCCTTTGGCCGCTACAAGTACCTAAGGTTACCTTTTGGAATTAATCTAGCTCCAGAAGAGTTTGAACGTAAACTCCATGAGAAGCTGCAAGGTCTTCCTGGGGTAGCAGTGATAAGGGATGATATATTGGTGATGGGCTATGGAGAAAATGAAGTTGAAGCCAATAGAAATCATGATGAGAACTTGGCCCGCAAAGCCAACCTATGCTTAAACAGCAGCAAGTTAAATCTTCGTAAGACTGAAGTCAAATTCATGGGTCCTCTAAATACAAAAGATGGTCTAAAGCCTGACCCGGAAAAAATCAAGGCTGTTCATCAAATGCCGAGATCATCATATCTAAGAAGGAGCTCCTGGGGCTGCTGGGATTTGTAAATTATTTATCTAAGTTTCTTCCAAAGCTGTCAGAAGTTGTGCAGACACTGAGAGAAATGACCACAAAGGAAGCAAAGTTCATCTGGTCACAGCAGCATGAGATGGCATTCAAGGAAGTACGTGAGCTAGTAGTCAAGCAATCTGTGCTTAAGTATTATGATGTACAAGAACCAGTGGTGGTGCAGTGTGATGCCAGCGGACATGGGTTAGGAGCAGCCCTTCTGCAAAACGGCCAACCGTTGCTTTTGCTTCACGATCTTTATCACAGACTGAGAGACAGTACGCCCAAATTGAGAAAGAGTGTTTGGCTATTGTCTTCTCCTGCAAAAGATTTAGTCAGTACTTTGCTGGTCGTGAGAAAATCACAGTTGAAACAGACCACAAACCGTTGCAGAGCATCTTCCAAAAGTCCATTCTTTCTGCTCCTTGTCGCCTGCAACATATGCTACTAAGGCTGCAGCGCTTCAATCTTGATGTTAACTATAAGCCTGGCACTCAGATGTTCATTGCCGATCACCTCTCCAGAGCCTCACTGAAAGCTACAGATAACACACAAGACAATTTTCAAGTATTTGTTGTTGAGCTCGAGTCACTCAACCCTTTTGACTCTATCAAAGTAACCCCTGAGAGATTAACAAAGTTGCAGAAAGCCACAGCCCAAGACCTGGCTCTGGAAACCCTTAACACAACAGTAGTTACCGGCTGGCCTGAGAAGAAAGAACAAGTGCCAATACAAGTGAGAGATTTTTGGAATTACAGAGAGGAGATTTCACTCCACAATGGGATTTTGCTCAAGAACCAAAGAGTGATAGTCCCTAAAGCCATGAGACCGGAGATACTTTCGAGGATCCATTCAAGTCACCAAGGTGTGGCTTCATGCTTACGAAAGGCTAGAGACATTGTGTTCTGGCCAGGAATGAGTGCTGAAATCAAAGACCAGGTTGATAAGTGCTCAGTATGTACCGAATTTCAAGCCAAGAATGCAAGTCAGCCACTGCAGTCACACCAAATTCCAACCCGTCCTAGGAGCAAGATAGCTACAGATTTGTTCACATTACACTCCAAGAACTACATCACGGTTGTGGACTACTTTTCTGACTTCATTGAAGTTAGTGAGCTGCAGGACACTACTTCCACTTCAGTCATACAGGCCCTGAAAGAGCAGTTTAGCAGACACGGTATCCCGGATACAGTCGTTTCAGACAATGGATCCCAGTTCAGCAGCCAAGAGTTTCATGAGTTCACCCTCTCCTTGGAGTTCAATCATGTCACATCTTCACCACACCATCCAAAGAGTAATGGTAAAGCAGAATCGTCTCTAAAGATTGTCAAGCAGCTTTTCAAGAAGCAGAGCGTGACAGACAAGACCCCTGGCTAGCTTTACTCGACTATCGGAACACCTCCACAGAAGGTGTAGGGGCAAGCCCCGCCCAGAGACTTATGTCAAGGCGAACCAGTACCTTGTTGCCAACCGCTGCAAGTCTGCTGCGCCCTACTGTAAATCACAGTTCTGTTGACAGTCTTCAGCTGAAAAGACAAAAGGCCAAATTCTACCATGACAAACATGTCAGACTGTTGCCAGAGCTGGAAATTGGGTAGGAAGTGAGAGTCGCACCCCTTCGTAAGAATCAAACATGTGAGCAAGGAATCTGCACTGAGAAGCTTTCAGACAGGTCATACATAGTTCAGTCGGGTGGAACGTCACTAAGAAGAAACAGGCAGTTTCTAAAGCCTGCAAGGGAAACGTCTGTACAAGGAAATACAGACGCCAACCCTGACAGTGTTGCACACAGAGATCCGGTGCGACAAGTTAAGCCTACCAGTAGTCCTGCCAAAACCTCCACAAGTGGCGACATTCCTGAAGAGACAAAGGCTTTAGTACCTGGTATCAAGAGAAGGACCCGCAGCATTCGTCCACCAGTGAGATTCAAGGATTTTGACATGAAATGTTGAACTGTTTGAGACTTTGAAAGGTTGAACTGTTTGAAACTTTGAAATGTTGAACTGTTTGAAACTTTGAGCATTTTAGTTTTCTTTTTGGGTCTAGGGTCGGTCAGTCTGATCAGATTCCACTTAACAGAGGACAGTGTTCTGATTGAGTTAGTTAAACTTTTGATTGCTTATTTTTTTTGTTAATAAAAGGGAGATATTACGTATATGGTTGTTTTTACCATATTTAGCTGTTTGTAAGTTTATGTAAACTAGGATGCATCTTACATGAAGGAGGCATTAAAAGCATGGTATCTGGCTACGTTGACGCGCTGTGTTAAACCGAACAATAGGAATGGCTGTGATTCTTGGATTCCAGTTTGAGAGCTGCCTGCGCACTTCGGCGCGTTAGCCACGGAAGCTCTAACCAGATTGTCTCATTTGTCCGTCCTTTCAAGATTTAAAAAAAGGAACAATAAAATTAATTGATATCACCATAAAGCAACTGCGATATGAGCCAAAAATGTACTTACAAATCCACTCTCATCAAGGAAAACCAGCATCTCTGCATTTAGAAGTCAAGTGTCTGCGCGAAAATTGATGTTGGCTATCTCACTTTGTTGTAGTGCAACTTTTCTTAGCTAAAAGAAAGAGAAAACCTGTTTCAAATTGCCAAAATGTCGCACGTGAAATTGATCGGAGTAAAAACTTACCGTTTTCCAAGTCACACCATTCCTTTGAAAATACCGGCAAATAGCTGAAACATGAAAGTGTCTGCCGAATACTCGTAGCATTTCTCTCACAATTTCTACGAATCTTCTCTCTAGGTGTTCTAGCATTGCCTCCATCATTGCCAGCTCCTCACGTGGATGCATTCCAACAAGGTCAACAGGTCTTCCAGTTTTCTTTACAATTACTTCACCCCAGCATACCTGTTTTCTCAAATACCTTTCTACTGTCCGTACCGACATTGCAAGTAAACCTGCCGTTTCTTCATTATCAAAATGCAGCTATAGGCCTGTAAACGCAAGTCTTCAGAGTATGCTCTGGGCATGTTGATTAATCTTCAATGCAAATGGGTGGCTCATAAAACGCAAATAAGTGAATAATTCAGGTTTCCCATAAAGCTCTTGGGTCTCATAGTTAATGGTTTATGCTTTCAACCAACAACATTTTTTCAATCAAATATATATAAGCAAGTTAATAAAAATATATAAAAATCACAATAACATCTTTAACAAAGTATGGAATGTACATTCAATAAAAATTCATGTGATTTTTCAATCTTAGTTCAAACTTGTTGATGTTTGGACTGTCGTGACAATTGATTACGTTACTAGGAAGATCGTTTCAAAACTTGATTATCTTCACAAAGAAGGAATATTTATAACAGTTTACTTTTGCGAGTTTGGTTTGTATCTTATATTGATGGTTGGATCTAGTCTTAGTGCTCTTGCACAGTTCAATAATCACTGAAGTTTAGACCATTCAGATTGAACACGATCTTATCGCACTCCACCAGAGATAGGAATTCTCTCCTTCGTTCTAAAGAGTTCCATTTAAGAATTTTACACCTATCCTCCTATGCCATCTCCTGTTTTCTTTGGCCTAGGGTGATTCGTGAAGCTCTCCTTTGTACCTTCTCAATTTCATGGATGTCTTTAGCTAAATGTGGTGACCACACTAGGCTAGCGTATTCCAAGATCGCTCGAACGAGGACTTATAAAAAATTGAAAAAATGTCCTTGTTTTTACTCCCTACGGGTGTGTTTAAGTAAGCCAAGAACCTTGTTTGCTTTATGAACTGTTTCATTGACATGTTTTGTCCAGGTCAGGTCATTCGCCATGATAACTCCAAGATCTTTATAATTGGATACATTTCCTGACTCAGTACCCGAGACTTGGTACCGTGTGGTACTTTTGTCTTTATTATGAGTGATTCTCATGACCACACATTTGCTAGGATTAAATTTTACCTGCCAGCGATCCGCTCATAGATCAAGGGCGGTTAGATCGGATTGTAAAGCAATGGAATCTTCCACTTTGTTGATCTGTCTATAGATTTTGGTATCGTCAGCAAATAACTTGGCGGTAGATGTAATAATGTTAGGTATGTCGTTCACGTAAATAAGGAACACATTTGGACTGGTGACAAAGACGACCATGACGGACGTATTTCAATCGCTCTGTTAAAATTGCTCTGCCTTGGTTCCGCAGATGGCCGTTTCTCACAAAATAATAATTCAGTAATGCCTAAAAACAAACCAAAAATATCTTGCGAAGCTTTCAAAAAAGGAAAAAGGCAGTGTACACGCGAAGGAAGCTCACAAACAGACGAGGATGTCTTCGAGGATAACAGCCATGGCTGCCTTAACAGCAAGTCAACAAATGCTCGTCTTGCTGAGATTGATGAGAAGCTTGAAAGACTATTAAAGTTAACAGACGACTTTGAAACCTACGAGTTAAATTCCTCGAAGATGAACACAAAAGCATGCAAGAAAGCCTTGGAAGTTCTCAAACCGAGATAAAAGAAATGCAAGGTTTACAAGATAACATCGCTGCACAACAGAAGACCACTGAAGCTTCACTTCAAGACACCTCAACTGACAGTGACTACGACAAGGAATTACAAGAGCCATCAGTCAAGAGCTTTGCAGAAGCCTTGCGCATAACTGATCAACTCTGGCACTTTGCCCAGTTTAATGGTTACCAAGACCTTCCCATAGCTGTAGGAAAGGCAAATGATGCGATCTTGTCATTACAACTGCGCTCCCCAAAATGGTAAACAGCATTAACGGATTATTTTAAATAAATGGTCCGTGAAACATCTTGAGTTAAACTTATTCACATACTACACTGTTGATGCAAAAAGGCTTAACAAACTTGTCAACAGTGTTTTGCTTTTTTCTGTACATTACCAACTCGAACAAATACTGTACATTTCAACTACGTACCCTCTGTGTTAGAGCTACAACTATGCATGGGCTGGAATGCACTTGATGTTTTGTTACAATGGATTTTGGATTTATCTTCATATGTGATTACTTAACATCATGGTTATTGCAATTCCTATCCAATTCATAAACCTCTATTAAGCGGCCACTTTTTAAAGTCCCGAGTGTGTCCACTTAATAGAGGTCGGACTATACAAAATTTAAGTCTCATGATGGAAAATTGGAGTTTTTCAGTACAATATTGTAGTTTCCTCATCCGACGTGCAACCTGTGAATATCATCTGCAAGCACGTCTGTGATATTCTTGTTTTATCATTATATGTTCAAATTTGCAGTGGTAGATTGAAGTGCGACAATGCGATATTCAAGTGTCACCACGCGACATTAAAGTCACATTTCACATTCCATACCCGAGCACCTTCATGCTACATTTAAGTTTGATGATTTTATGCAAGCTTAAAGGTTCGTCATGCTTGAGAGTTTTACCTTTTGCGTACGAAACCACTGGAGTATAACGGGCTCGGCCATATCATGTGTCTTCTTCTGGGCAGGAAGGCTTCAAAATGGTGTTGGAAAATCAGAACACAAGGAGCAGCTTATTTCGCTGGCAAACCAAGGTGAGAGTTCTGAACAACAGTAAATGTACTCTTACAACCTTTATGCAGCTAACAATGTTAAGCCTCAGGGTGGGGGAGGGACTACTCACGGGAAATTGACTGAGAGGGCCTGCTATCTTGGAAGACCAACAGAAACTGGAAATGAGTGACCTGCCAGCTTGCTAATACCCAAAAGTCACTAGAGACAAATGACCTCTCCCTTTCTTCAAAGCATCAACATAACGTGAGCGAAAGAAAGGTACGGAAATCTTTTTTTATTTTTGGTATATATGAAGTATCAATTCGTTCATTGCAGGATCAAAACCAAACATTACGTTAGGGCATAATGTTATTTATGTCGATACAATATGCCTTTGTGGTCTACATGGTTGGTCTTCCGACTCACATCAATCTAACCTCTCTTTCAAGAGCCAATCATTTCTATCGCCCTGAGGGAGTGTTCGTGTAAAGGAGCATGCATTCCCGCGTTCGTCCCCTCTTACTTTCGCCATCACGGCGATTACATCTCTGCGGAAAAAATTTTTTTGTCAGGCAAGTCCTATTATATTTTACCATCTCTATAACATTTATCCCTGTAATCAACTTAGCGATTTTGCACCTAGCGTGCCATTTCTTTTTCTTTTTTTTTCTCGTACATTCTATATTCAGTTTTTTAACATAAATTGAGATGGGTGAGCCTCGTGTGTTAATTCTCGGGCACTCTTTTATTCGCCGTTTAAATAGCTTTATTACTGATAGTACTCATCTTGATCATCGTTTTATGATACACGAGCCCGCCCAGTTTAAATGGCATGGTGTAGGAGGTCGAACAGTTGAAAAAACTATTCGCTGTGATCTCCACGTGGTGGAGTCGTTTGCTCCCCATATTGTGATACTACAGTTGGGAACTAATGATCTTTCCCACCTAGATCCCTTAGTAACAGTCTCGGCAATCGAAGACTTAGTAGGTATTCTGTACGAAGAGCACAGTGTGCGACAAATTTGTGTTTGCCAAACGCTAATTCGCGAAAATGATGCTGCCTTTAACGCACGTGTTAAAGCCCTCACGAAATATCTGAAGGTCCTTCTAGAGCCAATTCCCTATTGCTTTTTTTGGGGTCACAGAGGTTTTTGGAATACTTCGCAGAGATATTTCGCTCGTGATGGTGTTCACCTTAATAAGCGGGGGCACTATAAGTATTACCGAAGTCTCAGGGGGGCCGTTTTAAAGTCTTTGCATTCCTGGGCACGTTCTGGCGAGCAGCCCAACTAGTTTTCGTAACCATTTTCACTTGCCCATTTCCTATTTACTTATCTGGTTTTTAGTTCAAACCAAGCCGCGTGGGTTATCGCCTTGTGGTTTAGCTGGTTGTTCTGTTTGATTTCCGGCAATTATTTGCCGCATTTTGCTGACCACTTATGGCCAAATTTTGTGGTTTCTGAAACCTTAGAAGTGCACTGTGTGCCTTCCTATTACCGGCTTTGGTATGTATGTTTGTTTGCTTGCAGTTACCATGTTATGAGTGTACAATCCATTTTGACCGCCTGCATATGTGGGTGTGTCCAATGCACTCGGTATACTGTCAATGCTCTAATGTTATTGTGTTGTGGAAATGGGTACCTTTTTTCGTTACTACTTATGAGGTATAACCCTCACTATTTTTTCGTGTCAATTTTGCACTCGAGTCATTACGCAAATTCAAATACCTGCTTTGGATCGGCTCCTCTGATGACCCCCTTTTTCTAATTTATTTGGCATTAAACCTTATTTCTAACACTTGTTTCACTGCCTATCACATCTATCACTTATAGTTAGTTTTTTATCCTTGAAAAATGCCTCCTGCGAAGCGTACCACCGCCCCACAAGCCAGGCGCTCGAAACGGCTACGAACAGACCTCTCTGAGGCCGGACCTTCATCGGTTGTGGAGAACCCTCCGATGCCTCAGCAGCAAACTGGACAAGGAAGAGAAATACAAGGAGGACAAGGAGCGATGCAGCTGGACGTGCGGGCTCTCACAAGTACTATTTCCGTGGCCGTCGCACAGGCCGTAAAGGATGCAATGGCTGCGCATCAAGCCACCGTCTCCAGTACGGTAATGCCAACGCCAACGCCGTCAGCCGCAGTAGAGCAGGTTGTGCAAAACGAAGTCCTCTCATATACAACAGGTACAATTGAACAGGCACCCCTACCAGCATTGCTTGGGGTTGGCGATCAGCCTAGCCACCCCTTCTCTAGCATAGCTGTTAATCTAGGTTCTCGTGTTAGCGCTAAAATCAAAGCGAAAATCTGGGCAAATGAATATATTGACTTTGGGGCACTGCTCTCTGTCGCACCCCCTCGAGAAAAGTTTGCTCTTTCCATGGTTTCCAGTGGGGGTGCCGTAAATCAACCACAGTTAACTCTCGAGCCTTATCATACACCGAAAAAGGTCACTAATATCAGCCAGTGGCTCACCGCTTTTAACACATTTGTATCCATTTATTCCGTAAAATGTTCCCAGGATGCCCCTAAGCTAATGAAATATTGCGAAGTGGTGCGTGACCTTGCTAATAAGTCTGGGGACTGGATTTTCTATGATGAGCAGTTTCGTTATTTGCGACAATCGTCCCCTGAATTTTACCCGTGGGATCAAATTCATTGGGAGCTATGGCTACGTGCCCTGACTAATTTTCGGGTCAAATCACAATCTTTCACCGGTAGTGATAGAACAACCCCGCGGGGGCGATTTCGAACCTCCACTCCCCCCTTTCCTAGGGGAACCTGTTGGTCATTTCATTCAGGGAGGCACTGCCGAGGTTGCCAATACGAGCACGTGTGCTTCAAGTGTGGTGCGAAACATCCCGCCACCCAGTGCCAAAACCAAAACTCCCATCTGCGAACAAATCCCGTTAAGTTCGGAGCATCAATTTCAGCTCAGCCTTCGGGGCAATTCCCTAGTAACTCCCGTAAGAGTGGACCGGTTTGAACAGCTCCTTGCGGGATACGACCAAACCCTGAAACAATATTTAATCAACGGTTTCCGTTTCGGTTTTCGAATTAATTTCATAGGAGAAATTACCTCATTTGAGGCCCCCAATTTAAAAAGTGCTCTGCAAAATCCGGACATTCTATTTTCGAAACTATCTAAAGAACTTGATGCTGGAAGAATTGCGGGACCTTTTGACACCGCACCCTTTCCATCGCCCGTTGGCATAGTTCCCAAAAAGGTCCCAAATGAGTTTAGGCTAATCCACCACCTGTCATATCCCAAAGGCTTATCTATTAACGATAGCATTCCGGATGACTGCTCTTCCGTACAATATGCCACGATTAATGATGCTGTTCAAATTCTTCAACGACTGGGGCCGGGTTCTTACTTAGCAAAAACAGATATTAAGTCAGCTTTCAGGATCATCCCAGTGAGTCCTCTTGACTATCCTCTACTCGGCATAAAATGGGACAATCAGTATTATTTTGACAGGTGTTTAGCTATGGGATTAAAATCGAGTTGTGCCTATTTGAAAAATTTAGTACTTCCTTAGAGTGGCTAGCAGTCCACCACTTGAAGGTGTCTGCGGTCTTGCATATCTTAGACGACTTTTTATTTATCGCGCATAGTCATGATAAATGCAAAGCCGATCTTTCTAATTTTTTGAGTATGTGTGACTTCCTCAGTGTGCCTATTGCACATGAGAAAATGTTAGGTCCCCTCACCAATCTTCAGTTTGCGGGAATTGAATTAGATTCTGTAAGGCAGGAAGCCAGGTTACCTTCAGAAAAGATTCACAAATGTCGCGCCCTGCTCCACCAATTTGCGCAGAAAAGATCGGTCACATTGCGCGAACTACAGTCTTTAATTGACCTATTAAACTTCTGTTGTTCCGTGGTCACTCCAGGACGCGCCTTTTTGCGTCGACTAATCGATCTTACCGCAGGCGTCACACGCCCCCACCATCACATCCGTTTCAACACCAAAGCTAAAAATGACATCCGAATGTGGTTACAGTTTTTAGATAATTTTAACGGCCGAGCGTTTTTTCTATCAGAGCGATGGGCCACTTCATCGACTCTCGAATTATATACAGATGCCGCGGCATCAAAGGGGTACGGCGCGATATTTGGAAAGCATTGGTTTTATGGTCCTTTTCCTATAGCATGGCACAGCCTTAATATAAGTTTTCTAGAGCTTTTTCCTATTACTCTCGCGGTCCATATTTGGGGGGCCACCATGGCAAACAGTTGCGTCTTATTTTTCACTGACAATGCGGCCCTTGTTGATATTATAAACAAACAAACGTCCAAACATAAACAGGTCATGATTCTTATACGTGACCTCGTACTTAGCTGCTTAAAGTATAACATATTATTTCGAGCTAGCCACGTCCCAGGCTTACAGAATAGTCGTGCCGATTGCATCTCCCGTTTACAGGTGGAGAAATTCAAGGAACTCTCGCCGGAGGCGGACGAATTTCCAACAGCAGTACCAACGAACCTACAGCCGGAGAGTTGGTCTCTCACTTGAGAGACTTGTTAGGCTCGGCCTTGGCTACTGGCTCTCGCAACTTGTACCGTAGAGCGTGGCTCATTTTTTCAGAATTTCACGGACGTTTCTTTGGGACGACCACACCGATCTTACCATATACAAAGCTGGCATTATTTATCTCTTATCTCTCGGCCAAACAACTCGCCCCGTCTACGATAACCTCTTATTTGTCCGCTCTCAGTTATGTCCATAAATTAATGGGACGTCCTGACCCTACAAAGTCATTTCTGATTCAAAAGTTGTTAACGGCCCTGAGCCGCCAACGTGCTGCTGATGTTCGCTTACCCATCACTAGACCTGTTTTACACGAGCTTCTCCGCTCTCTCCGCCAGACCAACTCTTTGGCTTTTCAACGTTATCTTTATTCCGCGATGTTTTTGTTGGCCTTTTATGGTTTCTTTCGCATCGGAGAACTCGCGGCCAAGAGTGCAGGTCGACACTGCTCCTTGCTCCAATTCAAGAATTCAAGGATCTAACTTTTCTTATGAGCGACGGCACACCCTATATGATTAAGCTAACGAATACCGACTTCAAGCACAATACGTCAAGGAAACCATTTGAAATTCTTATAGAACGTGAGGCTGTGATGCCTTTCTGTCCCGTTCAAGGCCTTATCAATTATTGTCAACTTCGCAGCGTGCAACCAGGCCCGCTGTTCTGCCATCAGAACCTCGAGCCCATCACAGTGTATCAGTTTAACAACGAACTTTCTCGCTGCCTAACTGTTTGTGGCCTCGATACTAAGAAATACTTGCTTGATTGAATCAAAAGCTGATTATAAACTGTTTAAAGGGAATTTGAAATCGGCAGTGAAGACATTTGTCTTTCAGGAATATGATGATGAGTGGGGCGAGTATTTAGACATTAATGAGGTCGACTTTGCCTATTTGAGTAGTAGTGGATTCTGCTCTGGTACCATCAAGTTTGTGTTAGAGCATCTTGACCACCGTTATTATACCCTGCAGAGAATGACATTTTCTGGCACTGCCTCTCTTGTGTTGCGGTGAACACTCTGTGATGTTGGAAAAGCCATCCGTTCCAACCTATCAATTATTAAGTCTTGACTCTAATAGAAAAAGTTACCCCAGGGGCGGGAAATTGACTTTCAGTAGGTGCCTGGGGGGAGGGAAATTTGACTCCGGGCTTCCATGAAAATGTCAAATTCCCCTGGGTTGATAGCTGCATTAAGTACATTTAAACGCACCGTATGACAGTGATTTCAATAGCAATAACACGATGACAAAAGGTGACAAATCGTACATAAATGCAAGCTTAAATTACTCTTCTTTTAGCCTATACACTCTCTATCAATCTTTATTTTTAAAAAGTTTTATTTTCTGCCAAAAAATTTATTGCGAAGAAAAGGCAGTTTGCATTTTTATCGCCCTGGTTCGCTACCTTGAGTAGAAAAGCTTTTACGATTGCTTGAAGTTGACATCGTTGATACAGTTGTGGAGGTTGAGGATTTTTGAGACATTCATTGACCGTTAGAGAAAGCAGCTAACCACCCATTCGTAACATTTTTACCACGCAAAAAACAGTGCAGATTCATCATAAGACTGCTAAGCTATATTATTTTTCCGCAACTTTTCACATTAATTTTGCGAATTCTTACATGTGGTCTGCATGTCGCATGCCAGACTGATAAAATGCCATTGGTTTGGGCTGCCTGTGAATTATGCAGCCTTTTTATTTCAACATAGGTGCTATGAAGTGTAAAGGAAAATTTTATATGGGGCTGATGGGTGCAATATGAGATATAAACTTTAAAGCTACAAGTGTATTTAGAATTACAATCAATGTTTCCAGTTTAAGATACACACCTACGGAACTCAAAGACATTGCTGATCAAGCAGACATATACATAAGACCATTGCAGAAGAATATCCCCGAGGAGAACCAGGATGTAAACATTGAGTAAGTTGAGGTAAGCGATCCACGACTTTGTTACCTAGTTGTGGCTCTAATGTGTATTATCAATACTTCAGTGCATTTGCATCAATATTCCATCTCATATTCTACAGCATGACCCTATGATTGAATGTTTTCAATGTCATGAAATGGTGTCAATGCATGAATTTAGACAGCGTCAGGAAGACAAGTATGGAAAAAGGGAGGAAGGTAAACAGACTTTGCAGACTCTGCAGTGTGTAAAATAAAGTCTATAAGCCCGTGGCTAGTGGATTTTGCGATCAGGCATGTGGATTTTGTCCTGTATTTGCCTAACGGGCAAGTGAAGTTTGTTCTGGACTTTTTAAAAATTTTTTAACTCCCTTTAACTGTAGGTGGGAACATGGTAACGTAAAAGAAAAAAAAACAATAACATTCCAACCAACAATTCAATATCTAAACCACACAAAGATAAATCAACATTCCCACTTAATATATATATTTAGCCAAGCCTAAAAGCGGAGCTCCCGATTTAATTACAATAATAATATTATTAATAGTAATAATAATAATGATAATAGTAACAATGATGATGATCGTTTTATTCACACTGGTGCACAATACATTATAACCTAGTTGTAAATACTGACACCAGCCAGTCGGTATTAAGTTGTAGTCTACCACACAACCACATTTGTCAAGTGTTTTGCTGCTTGATGAGAATATTTGTATTTATTTGCCACACGATCACAATTACAAACAGATACAAAAAAATGTAAGAAGAAATGGCGAGGAGGCCTAAAGGAATCTATAAAGCTTATGTTAATTATCGCTTCTCAATTACAATTTTTCAAAGATGGCATAAATCTACGGCAACGGATACAAAATATTATCAGATGGAAATTAAAGTAACAATCAATATTAGGAAGTTTACCAATGTTGAATATTAAACAGCCTTTTCCCAAGAGATTTTTGTTGGAGAATATTAATAATAATTACTATTACAAATCAATAACTTGAGTGCTCGTTTAAAGGAAAAAGTGGAGGAAGCGTTGAGGATGATGTTAGTCTTTAAGGTGTTATAGAAATTGTTGCTTGGGAAACTAATCAAAGTGTGATGTTTTGCCCCTTGATGTGGTGTCAAACTTCCCTTTCTTTCCGAAAAATGCATGAAAAAATCCTTCGGTTATCCCGTTGACTATAAATCAGGAAACCAAATATTATGTCTGAGTCCTCTACACAACAGCTAAATATTTGCTTTACTATTAGCATTATTATTAGTTTATTATTATTTTCATTACTGTGTCAACGAAGGATACGCTTTCTAATTGAGTCGTTGGCTGCTCTGTGTTTGTGGGCGGCCTGTCCATATTCCGGACGTGAGGAAACAAGAAAATAGATTGTTGGTGTCGTCAGTATGTTGGTTCCACATCTGCGCCATCTTGAAATGTGACAATAGCATCCAGCATGCCGAGCGTGCCATGTGCCATTTTGAAATGCCATAATAGTATGCTTGCATCACAAATAAATAAGGGAATAAAATTAACTGCAAAAACCGTGGATGGAGATCCTGCTGGTTATATAAAATCTCTAGATGAGAGATCTAATCAGCCAAAATATTAAGAACCAGATGCCAAAGAGCTTTCATTTGAATATAAAAACTACATGACTTCGTACAAAAATAATTTTGTGTGAGAAATCAACTCCTCATAACTTGGTGAAGGAAAAAAAAGGATTAAGGTGGTGGGAACCGATACAGGTGCCTCAGGCCCTAAAGAAATGCACTATAATCTACGATTACTGATAGTTATTATAACATGAGAAACGGACCCCAAATAGACACAAAAAGAACAACATAATAAAAACTATAAACTATAATATATAGATATATGTATAGACCAGTATGTGAACTACTCAAATCCTGAGTGCATGGGTGTAATCCAAGCTTGTTTCATAGGCCACCGAAAAGATGGCATAAAGACAGGTCACTTTCCACCGGTCACCATGCCTATGAAAGAAGACTTATTTATTAACCAGTAACGCCTA